GTTAATGTTACACATATATTAAAACTGGTGAGGGATTATATCCATCACAATTGAATCCAACATAAATAATTTAATTTATTTTTGATCACAGGCGAGAGGGATTCACTTTGGATCGGGCACTGTCTCTGCTGTAGCATCATTATGTTGGAGTGATTAGTTTACAATCAGGTACATACGTACCAAATTTATAAGTAATTAGGTCACAATTAGGTACAAACACACAAAAATTTATAAGCATCAGGTTACATTCAGGTACAAATTTATGAGTAAACTTATGATTGGCTCAGATATTATTTAACCTAATCACTCACAATAAATCATCACGGAATTAGAGATTTTCGCCCATATGGTTAAAGACGGTAAATTTTAGACTTCTCATCCGGAATTTAAAAATATTCTCAATCGCCAGATTTTCTCATCTGGTATTTAAAAAAATTTTGAACCACCAGATTTCCACATTGGTAATCCAGGTAGTTTTGTTATTGGATATAATCACTACTTTAAACGTAAAAAGAATATTTTAGATTCTACCTTTGATTAACTTAGTCTGGAAATGTTCTAGTAATTAAAATAATTATTAATCTGCAATTATTTTTATGATGTAATGTAGGTTAGTTCTGACAGAAAATAGCACGGATTGTGATCACCGACTATTCCAGTATCAAGATATGGGGAGCTTTGGATATGGCACAGTCAGATTTAACGAAATGTAAGCATTAAGTCTGGTTTTTTTTTTTTTATTTAAAGGTATATGTATAAAAGAGGACTATTAATGGCTAGCAACCTTTCATATAGAACTTTTACTAAAAAGGACTACAATCATTATGAAAAACTACGCAATAACACCTAACTATAAGAAAAATATATATTAATGGTTATGAAAATTAAAAATAACTACTCTAATTAAATTGAAATAGTTATAGCAATAAGGAAATTTATAAGTTTGTTGAATTACCGAAAAGCTTATGTTTAGGGTAAGGGGGGATTCGAAATTGAGCATAAGGTGGTTTCATAATCAAATATTTTGAGATATCGGTTGGTTTCCGTGTATATACGTCCCGTGTACAAATAGAAATTCTCTGCATACTAATAAAAAAAAAGACAAATATAGTAATAAATATATGAGTATTACGAAACGGTAATACAGATGCAGCCAAAAAAGGTTATGATGACATATTGATAACGTATATGATGTAATGGTAAATAAGTAAATGCCTGATTTTCAAACTATGTTGGAGCAGTTGGTGATCATAAAACAGTTCCCGCTTTTGGTGTTCTTTTTAGAATCATCACATATGATTGATTCTACAAATGAACCGAGTTTTAGGATAAATAAAATGATGCGTATGTTCAGATTTGTTAAGTATTCTAAACCTTTTCATAATGAGCCATCGTTCACAGTCCAAACAACATGAGAGTATATCTAAAGGAGATTTTCCCAATCCTTTTGATGATGAAGAAGAAATAATCAATACAAGACTTTATATGCACAGTTTTTACGAGTATTTATTTAATGGCAATGTAGGGGCTCCAGTCCATGAAAAGCTACGAAACGGTGCCAAAGCACTAGAATTTCGGTAAATCATGTTCTTGTTTTTAATGTAGTTTTACAAAAAACTTTATAATTAAAAATTCTCGTAAAAAAACAAAAAATACAGATGTAATGATGGAATTTGGTCTTCAGAGGTATATATTAAGCAATACTACTATTGTATGAATGTTGGGTAAATTTATTTTTTTTTGAAATTAATTTCATAACAACATTAGGTTGCTGCTGAATATCCAAATTCGGAATTTTATGCAGTCGATTCAATCGTATCAAAATTTAACGATGAACTTAATAATATTACATTTATTGGATGTGACATTTCTAAAAAACTACCATTCCCTGATGATGAATTTGATTATATTTTTTCTGACGATAGATTTTTATTGATGGAAAAAAGAACATTTCAAGAAGTTTTATTAGAGATCTTTAGAATATTAAAACCCGGGGGTTGGTTAGAGGTGAGAAAGAGTTTAACTTTATAATGCTATTTTTACAAATTCTAACATTATTTATATTAGATTCGATGTACGTGTAATTCGAACTTAGCTTACAAATCATCATATAAACAATTAAGTTGCGCATGTATGTTTATCGTGCATTTGGACTAGGTGCTGAGAAAAGGCCCAAATTGACAATTTTTCAAAAGTGATCTTTTTGCACAAATCAATTTAGAATAAGATTAGGAGCATTTTTTACTCAAAACACAAAGGTAGTTGTATTAATAAAATTTTGCAGTATAGTTCTTTAAAATTGTAATTTATTACAATTTCTTGTAAGATTCACAATACAAAAATTGATTTTCAACTTGGGCCCTTTTCTTAGCACCTAGCCCATTTATTCTAAAAATATATCTGCAGTGAGATCTCTTTAAATGCAGTTCGTGGAGACAAACTTTGATAATGTCATACGTGCATTAAAAAAAAAACTGCATTTTTGGTTCAAATAATATTTGAGCCAGAGTTTGAAGTTACATTAAAGAGATGCTGTATTAAGAATAATTATATTTAGGAGAACTCACGATATTATAAATATTTTCTTAACCTATTCTAATAATTAGGGATATCGTGGCTCAAGACACAAAATATTGATTATGATACAGTGGAAAACCTTGAAAATTACCTTCAGGAGACTGAAAAAACAGAATCTATATTGTATCGAATAGAGGAAACAAAGATTGGAAACGGCCACACTTCTGGAGAGTTTCTTCTCCAAACTATTTTACTGTTTTATAGAAATTCGAGAGATTTAATGACTTCTTTTATGAACATTTCATCTAAAGAATTTGATGATTTACTAAAAAATTTAGAAAGTGAGCTAAATGTTGAAGATAGCAAAATAACATTAAGACACAAGCAAGTGCTTGCAAAAAAGAGGAGCGCACATTCTGAAATTTCACATACTGTATCTAGTACAAAATAGGTATTGCTCTGTTTTGACTTTCTAAAAACACCAGCGCTTTATGACTTTAATTTAACTGGGATCATACCCATTTGCAGCAAGATATGGACCGGAATCATACAATTTAAGTTAAAAACTTAATATAATTTGTTGGCTACAGAGCCATTATATGTAGCAAATATATTTTTTCTTATTTTTTCATAATCTATCTTCGGCATAAAAAAATTGGTTGATTAGTAACGTTTAATAAACTTTTTTGAATAGTCAGCCCGACAGTCCGACGTACATCTGGTTTATAAATCTGTCCACACAAAATATGAATTTTTGTGAACGTGTTTGAGTTGCCCAAGTTTCCGCACTGCTTTTATCTTCTGTTAAATTATTATAATGCTTACATAATGTTACTATTTAAAACTTATATCTAATTTATTGTTTGAATCACTATAAAATATTTGAAATTACAATACTTATATTAATAAAGTTCAATGCTTAAAATTTCCACAACGCTTTAGGCGATAATGGTAAGAAGCATTTTTATTATTACCTTTATTATATGATAAAATTTGATTTAAATTTTCTTGAAAACATAAAGTGAAAACCTTTTATACGTGTTTACCTTTACGATATTGTGCATTCAGATCGCCGATATTACAATTATACCTGTTCTTCAACTAAAATGCCAGTACGATAAAATAAAATGTAAGAGGGATCTATTTTAGAAGCATTTGTGATTTTCAATAATATCACGTGTAATAATTACTTCATAGTGCATATGCATAGGCAGAAGTTGTCTGATTGGATAATAAATTCAATTTAATTTTACTTTTAAAAAAGCGAAAACCAACCATAATAAAGTAAAAAAAAAACCATCTAGAAGGTATCATTAGAGCTGTAGGACTCTATAGTCAAAAATACTCCTCCATTTAAAAAAACTAGCTTAGTAATAAGTTGATTTTATCGGGGTTTGAGAAGTTATTACTATACTAACTTTTTTAAACGGACAAGAATTAGATTTTATTTTTTGGCTATGCTCTAATAAACCTTCTATACAGCTTTTTTTAGTTAATTATTATTGGATTTCTTTTTTTAAAAAAAAGGTACTTTAAATTTTGTAAATAATGTAAAATTAAATTAAATTTATTAGCAATCAGACAAACTTTTGTCTGTGTTCACTAACCTACTAGCTATACACTTCGTGATTTCATCGCACGTCTGAACAGTTATGTCGATCATCAAATCGAAAGAGCATAAAGTTCAGAATTATGCGCAGACTTTAATTTACTTGATATTCGATATTTAATATACAGTATACTTATATAACAAAAATTTCGTGTTGAAAACTTTTATTTAGAAGTCTAACTGTGGTCATCATAGTGTGAGATCCGAAAACGTGACCGATATCACATGCAGTAAGTTCCGAATGTCAGAAATGTCAGATATGTCAGATATATTTGATATATCCGATATCTCCTATATCGCATAAGTGTGATATATGTGATATATATGATAAATTAGATATATTCGATATACTAGACAAGTTCATAATGTAAATAGAGAAGACAGTTTATTATAAATAAAGGGCAATTCGTCCAGGCGAAAGGGGAGCGATTCCAATTGCAGACATAAACTACCTACCTGACCCATAATTAAAGTGAAAATGTTGGTCCATAAAAGCAAAGTAACTATTGACAAATCCCATTACTAACACTACCCTCTCCCCAATAATAATCAAACCCATAATTGAGCATTTACCATAGTCATGTGCTTGGATAATCATAATGAAAAAGAAGAGTTCCAACTCTGATTCAATGTAGTGAAATCCTGGTTGAGATTATAAAGAAGAGAAGAATTAGTAAAAGAGTAAGTTGAAGAAAAGACTCAAGAGAAGAGACAAGTACTTACTTATAAATGATAATCCACTTGTCAAATCTAATATGTCTGCTTCAACTTAACTGCCAAAGGTAACACAAAATTGAAATAGTTTAGTAACAGACAGTTGATTTTCAAGATGACAATTTGGTGGTGATTGTGAGATTTGAAATTAAGGAAACTGTTTGTTACCTCTTCTTCTCCTCTAATATAAGAAATATGAAGAGCAAATTAGATTAAAGAAAAGATAAATAAATTAGTAATTGAGAATAAAATAATAAAAGCAACAAAATTTAGTATACTTATCTGAAAAAAATGTATGATGCTTACTTACTACTGAAATTTAACCATATCTTAAGAAAAGTTGAAGCCCAAATAATGAAAATATTAAAAGTCTTATGAAACTCTTAATCAACTAGACAAAGCTTTTGACAAAAGGTTTGGTGCTCCTATTGTAAAAAAGAAAACATAATAATAACAATTGTCTAAAAATAAGAAAAATTCAACTAAAATGACTAGAATTGATAAATATACTTATCTAGGAACAAGTTATAAAAGTTCAGAAAATAGTTGATAAAACTATAAGAGAACATAGTTTTTATAACTTACAAGTTCTTGAATATTTGTTAGAAATATTAAAAGATGTTAGCTTAGGTAACAACCTAAATAATAATGACAAATAAGAAAAAACAATTGTATATCTACCTTTATATGAAACTATTTTTTATGATTATTTCTGCTCTATATCCTAAAAAGACTATTTTATAAAGTTTCAAGAAAAACTCATCTTATATCTACTCTTATATGTTTACCTAAATTTGTCTATAAAAAAAAAGAATTCACTTATATTAACTTTTGTAGTTTCTATATTAAAAGATCTCTTAGAGTTTTGATTATTATTAATTACCAAACTAAATGTCTACTATAATACAAAACCTACTACAACATCTACTACAACCCAGATGAATCCATAAAAAAACCACCTGCTAGTATTATCATCAGTTCTGAGAAAGAAAAAGTTGACTTAGACTATCTTCTTTAACAACTAGTTACTGAATGCAAAGTTTTTGTATAAAAATAGGTTTTGCAAAAAAGTGACTTGGTCAAAGTAGAACTTGGAAAAGAAGAAAATATAGCTTTCAATTCTAATTAAAAACTTGCCAAAATGGATAAATCTAAGACACCTATTTATTATCAAAAATCAGCAGAAATTGGACATGTTAATGGAATATATAAAGTTGAATTTTGTTATAGAAAATGGGTTAAAATTGAAAAAAAAACATAAAGCACACTCTTATTATTAAAAACTTGTAATATGAAAATGAAAAAGAAGTATTTATAAGATTTTCTAAAGTAATAAAAGGGAAATTTAAGTTTGAAAATAAAACAAATAAAGATGATAATAAGAATGATAATAATAATGATAATAAAAAGATAATAATTTCTAATAAAAAAAATCAAAGTCTTGAATTGTTAGATTTTGAAAAGCTTGGAGATGTCTGCAATAATTGAAAATAAAAAATAAAAAATTTTAAATTATTAGTAAAAGAAATAAGAAAAGCAGAAAAGCTTAATAAAACTTATTTAAAATCATGTATTTAATAACAAAATGATGAAAAGAAAAAGCCATTATAGTGTTGAAATTGACTTCTGAAAGAATAATTCCTGTATTGAATAATGGATCTAAAACAGAAAAAGAAATAATGTTATTAGAGGTAAAACAAGAAAATGTAATGAAAAGAATAATTTGGTACTTATTTCTGCTATATTAGTCTCAAAGACATTTGATATTGGAGAAAATTGCTTTTACTTTACAATTAAGAAAAAGAAAATGTTTATATATAATATACACAAACTAAGTAAAGAGAAAATATAAAATCTAAAAATATTACTGATATTATATATTATAAGTTCCAAATATCAGAAATGTTAGATATGTCAAATATATTTGATACATCTGATATATGCAATATATATAATAAATTAAATATATTTGATATGCTAGACAAGTCTATAATGTAAATAGACAAGACAGTTTATTATAAATTAAGGGCAATTTGACAAGGCAAAAGAGGAGCAATTTCAATTATGAGATATAAACTACCTATCTGATCTATAATTAAAGTGAAAGTATTAGTTCATAAAAGACTAGTAACTATTAACAAATTTTAGTACTAACACTATTCCTTATGAATAACCAAAGCTATAATTGAGTATTTGCCATAGTCATGTGTCTAAATAATTGTAATGAAAAAAAATTTTCCAAACCTGATTTGACATAATGAAATCCTAGTTAAGACAATAAAGAAGAGAAAAATTAGTAAAAAAATAGGGTGAAAGATAGACTTAAGAGAAGAGACCAGTACTTACCTATGAATGATAATTTACTTGCCAAATCTAACATATCTGTTTTGACTTAGCCATCATAGGTAATATAAGAGTTGGAATAGTTTAGTAATAGACAGCTAATTTCCAAAACAACAATAGTAAAATCTTGTACTATTTATGAATTTTTTGTTTTTTCAATATTTTTTAAATTTTTTAGTTACTCATAATTTTGTGACTTTGTTATTTGATTATTACAGCTAAAACACTATGAAATATATATTATGGAATTTGCCTTACTGCTTATATGATTACTAGCTAACTCTGTAGTATTATACTCTCTTTTCATTTTCTTTTTAATACATTCATTTATTCTACTTTCTTTAGTTGTCTAACTAACCTTATTTTGATATCCAAGTTGTTCTTAAATCCTATACCAGATGGTTAGGTTTTATTAACAAAACTAGATTTGTATTGAACTAGTAGCAAAACAAAAGAGAAAACCTATTTTCAATTTATACTTTACTTATATAGCCATTTTTAATAACCTTATACTTATCATATTCTATTTAATTAAACTTACTACCCAATTTTTTTTTACCTACAATGACCTTATTACTCAATCAATTACTCAATTATATTCTCTTATTAACAATTGCTTACCCAATAATAATGTCATAAATAATTGATATAATCACATAACAAATAACTGTCTTGTAACTTTATTCATAATATTTTATTAGTTACTCAATTATTATAGTTAAAACACTACAAAATACACATTATAAAAATTATCAAAAAAATCAATTTGTATTTTTTTTCCTTCTTCTAATACTGCAAATATCAAATAATCTTATAAATTTGTTAAGCTATTACTTACTCAAAACTCTATTTTTACAAATACTCCATCCTTAGTTATTTATACTGCTCTCAAATAAAGTATTACTGTTTTCAAATCTTATCATTCTATAGCTCTTATCTGAGTTAATAATATATCTTCTTTTATTGTTTCAGTTGTCTCACTTATACTTAAGCTATAGAATGTATATTGATCTTTAATCTTTGTATTTTTTATCATTCTTTTAATTATTGCTAAAATCACTACTACTAATATTTCTTCACTCTTTTTTTGATAAGAACAAAGGCTCATCATTTATTATACTTAGTCTTATTCTAAAACACTTATTCATTAATCTTATAAGATAAATTTTACTATTTGTGTTCTCAATTGATATAAATTTCTTATTTGCAAATAGGTTTTTTTTGGTACTTTTAATTCTATTCAAACTAATTCTGATCTCTATTTTATATTTTTTACTTTTAATTTATATAATTCTCCTAGTCTATATATCATACAAAACTCTATTGTTACTAATGCTAAGTTTTTGTATTATATAATTGCATTTGTTCTTTTAGATAGACTCTTATAATACTGTTTTAATGTTTCTAAAGAAAAAGAGTCTTATAGACATTCTGTTTCATGGTCTTGAGCTTTTATTAGTCTAATCCATCTTATTATCTCTTTTATTCTAAAATTTTCTCTTGGATTTTTCAAACCTTTTTTCTTGTATATTTTTATTATTATACAAAACCTTTCAAATTCTTATCATGTCTTCTCTAATCTTATTCTATAGCTCTTATTGATTGATCTATAAACCAAATTATTAGCTCATTTTAATAATATTCTTTTTATTTTATTTTGGTTGTCAATATTTTCTATACTAAATTTTTGTATGGTTTTCTTTATTTTGATAATCTTGGAACAATAATATTTACAACTAAAGGCAGCTTTACTACCTATTTTAGTACTTCTAGAAACATTAGTTATTATATCACTAAAATCTATATTGGCAAAATTAGTACTACTTGTACTTTGTACTCCCAGTTATGTGTTAATATATAATGAATTAATCTAAAAAGAGGGCATGCATAATTCATTTCTCTCTTTCAATATTAATTAAAACAATTAAATGCTTTAGTCTTAAGACAAAAATACAAGCTGTTGAAATGTTTCTTTTTATATTTAAATAGCTCACAAACTTGTTTATTGTTAATATCTCTTATTTGGCTTTTAAACCTACAAACACATAATTGTCTAACAATCCTTTATATTTTACTCTTTTGTAAAACAATCTGCTAGATTTTTTTTACATAGAATTTATCTGATCTTATAAATTCAGATGTTATTTTTAATACAAAACTCTTATATAAATTTTTAATATCCTTTTGTCAAAGACATTTTTCTTATATTCTATCATTTTTACTACAACTTGTTGTTTATAAATAATGTTATTCATGAATAGTTAAGCATTTTCACAAGAGCTTTTATCACTATAACACCTTTAAACTTTCCAACTAAACAATTTCTGTTAGTTTGAACAGTTTTGGCCAACTTCTTACTGCAATACAATTCAACTATATGCCATCTTAGTCTATTGTTGATATATTTACAAAGCTACCTTTAATTGTGCTGGATTCTATATTAGTTTGCTATTTTATTTTACAATATTTTTTTTAACCACTTATATTTTTTATTATCCCATCTGACAACTAAATCTTTTTGTTATACTGATGATAATCCTAATTTGCTATATTTATTATTGTATAGAACTCTAAGTATTTCAGCTGTGCTAACAAAAAGGCTTATGCAAAACTGTAAATCTTTCTTGCCAATTATATCAACCTTTTTGCTATTATTATTTACAAATTCTCTATAGTTTCCAACTTCTTGTACACCATCTAAATTTTCTTCTCTGGCACTTTGACTATTTTTTTTTATATGTTTACTATTAATCTACAAATTTTTATTTTTATTGTTAGTTTCCAATATTTCTTGTCAACTGCTCTTACAAACTCATATTCTTCTAAATCAATTTTTATTACCTTTTCTTTTATTACTAACAAAACTTTACTTGATAGGCTTGCTACCTAACATTATTAATATAAATTCTATTGTATATCTCTAATAACCTCTAAGATCTTATTAATGCTTTTATTATTTTTGAAAAAATTCAAAATGACTAAGACAGACTAAATAGTAGAACTGTATAATGAAACCATTTTCTTCTACTTGAAACTTCAAAAACTATTGAGCCTAATGTTCATCAGAATATGTCAGTACTCATCTATTAAATCAAACACAATTATCTACTAATTCCTTGCAATAATTTTAAAAAACCTACCAAACCTTTGAAAAGAATAACTTCTTGAATAGAATTTGATTTAACTTCTTAAATCTATTACCAAGTGATAATGTTTTGGGTCTATATTTGAAACTTAAAACACTGGGCTTACCTTCAGCAAGAAATCTGTTTTTTTTTCTATATACATCTGCTTTATTATATCTGTTTCTCTTAAACTTTCTAATTCCCACTCTATCTACTCCAATTTATTTTGTGAAAACTTTAACTGCTTGACCTATTTCTGAGCTAATAACTTCACTTTTTTGGAAAAAAAGTAGTATCCTGTTTTTTAAACATATTATAACTAAATTTACCAGTTTGATAACTTTTTTTTAGTATTTTACTAATAATTTTAAATAAATTCTTCCTACTATCTTCTGTTTCACCTATCTTTTTTTTTCAGAGTATAGTTAGCTTTTTGTTTCTTCTATATTTGCTTCTCAAAAGAGCTGATTTAGCCTTTTTTAAGTGTAATTCCAAGCAATATAACCCTTTTTCTCACAAATAAACTACACAATTTCTGAATTTCTTACCTTTTTATCTTGGATATTTATCCTAAAACCACTTTAATTTACTCCTGATTGATTTCATAAATCATTTTAATTCTATACTACCTTTGATATAAACTCTGTTTTAATTCTATATTACTGTAAGGTTTTACACTTAGATTAAAATCAAATTATTTAATATGCTAAAATAAAAACTATTGCATAGACTAATTTAATAATACATTAACTCCTTTAACAGACTATTCTATAAATATTTCTGCTATTTCTGGCTTATTTCCTAATCTCATTCATTTATTCTTTGTTATCTGTCTGGCATTTGTCAACTTTTTCTAAAAATATGCTTTTATAAAATCATTATCCAATAGTTTCTAATTTTTGCTACAATATTTCATTTTTTCTTACTTGCTACTCTCAACATAAATACCTTAGTTGCAACAACATCCTGGGCCTTAACTATCAAATTCCAATCTTTACTTCTTAACACATTGTTTAAATATCTTTTTACCTTACACTATTTATTATATTTAAATTAGTTTTTTGCCTTTCCCAATTTCTTCTTTAACCAATATTTGTCTTCTTTCTTATACTGCATCAACTGAACACATTTCTTAAACTCATCACAAGCATTTTCATTATCATCTGAACTATTTTCTCTAAAATTTCTCTAAAGCAATATACTGCAAATTAGGCATTACACATATTTGAACTTCAATACTTTACTTATTTACATCTGATTTCTTTTTGTCTCTATTTTAATGCATCAAGATATCAAGCATATTATTTGACTTTTCTTTTATATATCCTTATATTGATTACTATTTTTAACATCTTTCTCTTTTACTTTACTAATTATCCTTATTGTTAATCTTTTTACTAACTCTCTTAGCTTCTAATTTTAATAAACCTTTACTCTTATATATTATCTTTAGTATTTTCATCAACAGCCAATTCAAATCACTCTTTATACTTTGTTGTAATATCTTTTCTGTATTATCCTTTAAGTTACAATTATTTGGTAAGATTGTTAGAAATATTTATTGTATATTGCTATTATTTCTCTATGCCATATGTATTGTCTTCCTTATAACTATATAATTTACAACAAAGCTAAACTTGTGTTAAGCTAGCAGTAAAGATAAAAGAAAAAGAACAATTTTTCATTCATATTTTACTTATATAGTTATTATTAATGATCACATACTTATCACATTTATTTAATTAAACTAACTATACAATTTTCTATTCACAATAACCTTATTACTCAATCAATTACTTGATTATACTCTTTTATTAATAATTACTTATTTAATAATAATGTAATAGATGATTGACATGATCTCATAACAAATGATTGCTCCATAATTCCATTTATGACTTTTCATTTATTGGTTACAATCTGCATTAATCAATATAACCTATCAGAGTGGTCTTCAAAAATATAGTATTTATATGCAAATATTCAAATATGCAAATACAGAATCATTATAAATTTATTACTAATTTATTTGTTGATATTATAGCAAGATATACCACAATATAACCCATACTTTTAATGCTGTTCTGGTGAAGTTCACAGGTTTCAAACATGTAATTTCATTATAAGATAGCTGCATGACATTGCTATGCAAAACCAGAAACAAGTAATGTGAGAAGTATCAGTATTGCATTTAGTAAATATTTAGATTGTTATACTATTAGACATGTAATATATAGTAGCAAAGGACAAATAAATTTTTGAATTATATATAATATAACAATATTAGAAAGATTCAAAAAAAACATTCATTTTGTTAAAGTTTTATTTTGTTAAAAATTTAACTAATAAAATAATTTTCTTAAATAATTCACTATCATATTAATTCTTTTTTTTTTAAAAATATTAAGATGAGTATTTGTAATCTAGAATTTTATTTATAGTTATTTAACTAATGATTGCATTACAACTACAGAAGTTATCTATATAAAGAGTATACAACTAGTGAATTGTACAACTTTAGTCATTGTTTAATTTAAGTAGTCTATTTAAAGGTTTTATACTAGCTGCCATACCTGGAATCTGCTTGTAGATTCCCTATTTAAACACTCTGATTTCTATATCCATTCACCTACCTCTACCTCCAATAACTTTAGCCAATGCTAATAAAAATATGCCATAACTAATAAGTTTTTAAAACAGTTCATATACACAAAGAACCTTTGACTTTGTACTAAAACTTTTAAAATCTTCAGTATTCTATTTTTATAACTGATCTAGTATCTTTATAACCAAGAATACTATTAGCAATCAAAGTGTACTATTAAACTGCTATGCACTTATAGAGTTTATCTCAACTTAGGTACTGACTTCACAACATATTCCTATTACTTTGGTATTCAAATCAAGTTCTATAAGCTTCCAAACCAAATAGCCCAGAAAGATAAGCACTTTTGGTTTATATAATCTTCTAGCATGTATCTTTTTTCTCTGAAATCTGGAAATTTTGATAGCCTGGTTGGTTCTATTTAGCCTCTTTTCAAAGACTGCTTTTTGTCTAGTTTTACAGATTATATAGGTCATTTTTGGGTAGTCTTTATAATAATACTACTAAAAGTTTATATTATCTCTTTAGTCAGGTCTTCCAAGTGAGCTTCCATCTTTCTATCTGGTTTTTGTATTTATACAGGTTAAGAACTTATCATAAGTCCATACTATCTGGTACTAGTTTGTGTTCCTTTATACAATATTATATAAATGTTTAGACTTTTCAGTCATGCTAATATGACATGAGTTGCAGGTATCTAATTTCAACCAATCATAAAAGACAATTAACTATAACACAAAATGAATTGTAAAATTTTACTATTACTAGGATTTGAACTCTAGACCTTTCTCTTAAAGATTGACAATCTGTACAATTTATTAGATCACCATACCTCTCTATTTTGCTAATTATAACTTAAATATAAATGTTAACCTTTATAAAAATAAGTTTAAAGCATTTTTGCATTACATGAATGTATACTAAGTTCTTGGTGCAGCAAAATTTTTTAAAGCTTGTTTATATTAGGATTATAGTCAGTTTTAGAAATTAGAAGAAGTAGTTTATACAGTAAAATTGTCTAATAAATTTTTTTTTTAGAGTATTAAAGATTTTTACTTATATTGATTTTTGAGAAATAAATAATTTTTAACAATAAAAGATTGTCTTAAATTTTTTTGATTATTTTAAGTTTACCAAATTTTGGAATCTAATTTATAGCTTAGAAAATTTATACTATTAGCCTAACATATTCAAAACATGCAAGAATTTGGTTATGTTATAAATATAGCATACATTTCATGCTGCAAATATATGTAAAATAGTTATGTAATTGTATTGCAAATTTAAATATTACTTTATTTTTCATATATAAGTAGCATATATAGTAAATCAGTATTCATACTATAATACTCATGCTTATACAAATTAAAGAAAGTTAAGACATAGCTTGTTATGCATATTTATAAGATAAATATTAAATTAGTAGAAAAGAATAATGAGTAGAGAAATCATAAAGCTACAACTCTTTCCACTAATCCTTAAGTTCTAAACAAAGCCAAACAAATATAAAGAAAAAATACAAAAACAGCTCAATAAACTCCATTTTAGACTCTAAAAAAAAAGATTTAGCACATAAATTACAACTACTTTTTATTTTAATAACAATATAAATAAAGTCTTGTTAAACAGAAGCTTTTGCTAGTTTTACAGCTTTTTGAAAAACTTTTTGGGAAAAATTAAAAAATGGCACTCGACTTTAAAAAACAGGATTGAAACATGTGACTAGCCATCAACATAAACAAAAACAATATGTTATGTTATACTAAACAACAAATAATAACAACAAATAGCTTTATTAGGAAATAACAAGTAAGTATATCATATAGAACAAACAAATGAATGAACAACAGAATAGTCTAGAAATAGAAGTACAAACTAGATTAGGACTACTATGCAGTACAAACCTAATTTAACATATCAAAGATTTTGGTAATAGAAATAGAAGATACATAGATAGTAAAATATTAGATGCAGTTTTGGCAAAACCTATAAAAAATTCTGATAACCTAGAGTATATAGCAAGAGACTTGGCAATTTATGATCCAAAAAACATTATAGCAAATAATTTACTTCTTTATAGCCAAATACTAGAGGTACTCAAAATAACAGAAGTATGTACAGTTTCATATAATACTATAGAAGAATGGGCAAAGAAACTAGCATCAATAAATATAATTTCCGAATTATTCAGCTATCAAACAAACACAAATAAGAAAGAAACATCAAAAATAGAAACAAAGCCAAAAGAAATAAAAGAGGTAAAGAAGATCAAAAAAGTAGAAATACTTGTATATTCAGAAGAAAAATATCAAAAATATAAAAATAAAAAAGAAGAAATGAGTCAAGATTTAAAAGGAGTTATAAAATAAATAGAAGAACTAAGTATTTTAACTATAAATCAACAAGATTTCATAGACTTCAAGAACATGACTACAGAAAAACTGCTAACAAAAACAATGAAATATGAAAGCAGTAATTGGAAAAAAGAAAATAAAAAAGACTAAGAAGAGTCAATGAATAACAGAATATGCAATCTTAAAAAAAATATCAAGAAGATAGATAGGAGAATAGTAGAACAAAAAGCAGAAAAAGAAAAGCAAGAAACTTTAGAATTGACAGATACAATAGAGCAAAGTCAGTAGTCACCTAGAAACCATATATATGATAGGAGCAAATCCTTTAAGACAAATATGCCAACATATATAGTACTAAGTGAAAACAAAGAAGAAAAAATTAAATATATGTAATAGATTTTTCAAGGAAATTATCATATTAAATCAATTCAAGAACTCTTTAAAAAAAAGCAATAGTAGGTAAAAGTGAACTTCAACTGTGAATTTAGCAGAGACGCAGCAATAGAGAGAATTAAAGAAAAAGAAGGTGAATAGCTTAAAATCATCTCAGAGGAGCTATAAAACCAAGAAAAAAAACAAATAGTAAGTACTAAGAAGCAAGGGCAAAAAGGTAAAAGAATCTAAAATACTATTAGACAAAGAAATAAAGAAAATAGTAAAAGTAGCCATGCAACAGAAGATATGTTAGAAGTAGAGTCATATTTAACAATATGTAATCTACTAGCCAATATCAACACAAAAGAAGTAGATCACATATACAGAAGTATTATAGGAGCTCATATAAAATACATTAAAAGATCTAAATACACAGTACTAGCAGTAATTAAAGCAAAGAAAATAGAAGAAAGAAGGATTCTATAGTCATTGCTAATAGGAATAAACAAACTTGCAAAAGTAACAATATGAGAAAAAAACTATAATCAATGTAATATGTAAAATCAATTTACAACTTGATTAGTAGAGCTTCAGAAAACATATCAGAAGTATTGCTATTACAATGCTTAAAGAAAAAAGATGTAAAATCACTATATATACCATTTAATAGAAATAGTAACCAAAGAAAGACAACTATAATTATGTTTGTGTTAGCAGAGAAGATGGAAGCAGCACAAACAAAACCAATATGTTTTAACAACTATTTACTCTTTTACAAAATTACAAAAAAGAAAATAAGAAATACATAAACAAGAGTGAAGAAGAAAAGTATATCAATAAAGA